AACTGAGCGAGCCAAATTGAAGTCACGAGGTGCAAACGATCGACTGGACGTGCTGATCACGAAGAAGAGTGAGGTGAGCTGAAATTTATGTTGTTTTCCTTTCGTTTACTTTCTTCAAACGGTTGTTGTCATAATGGAATCAGTGAGGAGTGTTTTCGTATGAACGAAATATTTTCAGATCGATGACAAAACAGAAGATGTTCGTCAAATGCTGCAATACATCTTCAAGAGTGTTTTCGTACATCGTTATCGGTTCGTTTCCATTCATCAATATTGCTGATTGTTCTGTCACAAAACTCATTTCTTGATGAGAACAATTTATAACGCATGATATTTCGAGTGGTTTTGTATATCGTTTATCATGATCATTATATTCCATGATTAACCTGATTTCCTGTAGATTAACCTGGTCGACCTGTTTGCAACCTGGTCCCGAAATCATCAGGTATAATGAGTCACTTCCGTATATTTATGTTGCAGAGATATAGTGTCCGATATCCGAGGTATATGCATCAGTGAACTGGGACAGTGGATGCAGGTGTATCCTGAGCACTTCCTCGAGGATTCATTCCTCAAGTATATCGGGTGGTTATTGTATGATAAGGTATGTGTGTTTAGGACCGATGTATTAACTTGGCTCATAATAGAAATATTTCTCAGTAACTAAGATTTTTTTCATCCTTTCTGAAGATTTCTTATCGAAAATATAATGGCTTAGTTGACACAGCTAGATGAATTGAAGAAATTATTCTTCGAAATGAGGGATTTCGATTTGATAAAAAGAATTATGGATCCTCCTAGCATATGGTGAACTGTTATGTCTCTCGAAAATTTCTCTCTGCGATTTCAATCAAATCTTCAAATTGATTTTAATCCCATGGCAATATGACGAAATCATATTGCCATGGAAAGGTGTATTTTGGAAGCTTCGGGTGAGGTGAATGTAGAATTTAGCTCGCAGTTGTATGGCATTTGTTCATTTTGAGGTGAGTGACGTTCGTCACAAATGCATACTCGCGCTTCTGCCGCTGTATGAACGTACGGAAGTGGTTGCGAAGTTGGAACTGTTCACGAATAAATTCAAGGATCGTTTGGTGAGTATGGTGATGGATAAGGATAATGAAGTTGCAATGCACGCTTGCCAGTTACTTACAGCTATTTACAGGTTATACTTTTTTTTGAGGTGATATCTGAAAATTGTTATCTATTTTCAAATTTCGAAACAGGTTATGAAAAGAATTCTATATGTATTGCTTGATTGAATGTGTAGTGAGATTGATGTATGTTTGAACTTTCATATTATAGAGTTTTCCCGGGTGTATTGGAGGT